CCTCCATTCCACAAACAGGGATCACTTTTCTTCTTTGGTTACACACACAGATACACACAAGCACATGTTCCAACCCTCCACTTTCACCCAAATACTCTTTCTTTCTCACCCAATTTTTTCTCTCAAAAAGTCCACCTTCTTTTTTTTAAAGGCACAGAAACTTATGTAGAAGTTAGATACTAAATTAAATCTTAACTTGTCATTGAACTTGCTTGTGTATTATGCTTTACATACAACCAGAAAAATAAATGAAAATGTTATCTCTCTCTTTCTCTCTGCTGTCAGGAGTGGTGACCTATTTTCTTTGTTGTCGTCCTATTTTTCAGGAAGGAGACGAATGGGGAGGGGCAACTTGCACTCCTCAGTTTTAAAGCCAACACAACATTCCAATCACCTTCTCTGTCTACAAGACACACACCCCATTTGATCCCGCTTTTCCTTTTCTTCTTTTTTTCGTTATCTTTTCTTCACCCTCTCTCTCTAAATCCATCTGTCTATCCCTGTTGTTCTAGATCTGTGTTAATCTATTCTTGTCTGATTCATTGTATCCTAGTAGTATCTGTTCCTGATTGTCCCTATTTCTCTTTCTCTCCCTCTGCATCTGTCTATTCAACCATCCAACCAAATTTGTTCATTTCCTATCTATCTATCTATCCACATCAGTTTGTTCCTGCCTGTCTATCTCATTCCTATTTCAATCTGCTCACATCTATCTATCTATCTATCTATCTATCTATCTATCTATCTATCTATCTATCTATCTATCTATCTATCTCAGTCTGTTCCTTCTTTCCTATCTATCTATCTATCTATCTATCTATCTATCTCAGTCTGTTCCTTCTTTCCCCTATCTATCTATCTATCTATCTATCTATCTATCTATCTATCTATCTATCTATCTCTCAGTCTGTTCCTTCTTTCCCATTCTATCTATCTATCTATCTATCTATCTCAGTCTGTTCCTTCTTTCCCATCTATCTATCTATCTATCTATCTATCTATCTATCTATCTATCTATCTATCCTTCTGTTCCTTCTTTCCTATCTATCTATCTATCTATCTATCTATCTATCTATCTATCTCAGTCTGTTCCTTCTTTCCTATCTATCTATCTATCTATCTATCTATCTATCTATCTATCTATCTCAGTCTGTTCCTTCTTTCCTATCTATCTATCTATCTATCTATCTATCTATCTATCTATCTATCTATCTATCTCAGTCTGTTCCTTCTTTCCTATCTATCTATCTATCTATCTATCTATCTATCTAAGGCTTATTTAGATTATTTACATTGTTCAGACTGTTGTCCTTATCTTTATTGTTATGTTTTGGCTGTTGTATGCACTGGCCTTCTTCAGGTGATTGGAATTTTGAACTGAACCCTTTATTTCATCCACTAGGGTAGGTTGTTTTAATTTCACATGCAATCTCTCTTGCAAAACATCATGAACGTAATAATAAAGATGAGGATTACAGTCTGAGCAATGTAAATAATATAAATAATTACAATACCTCATCTCAGAAATATAGATGGCTATCTCAGTCTGTTCAAATCTATCCAGCTATCCATCCCAGTTTCTCTCAGTCTGTTTACATCTATCTGTATTTCACATTCACATCTCTCTCTCTCTCTCTCTCTCTCTCTATATATATATATATATATATATATTCAGTCTGTTTACATCTATCTCTTTATATATCTTTCTCAGTGTTCACATCTACTACATCTATTTTAATTTGTTCAAATCTATCTCAGTTTTTATATCTATCTGTCTATCTATTTAAGTCTTCATATCTATCTGTCTATCTATTTAAGTCTTCATATCTATCTGTCTATCTATTTAAGTCTTCATATCTATCTGTCTATCTATTTAAGTCTTCATATCTATCTTGGTCTGTTCATATCTATCTATCTATCTATCTCGGTCTGTTCATATCTATCTCAGTTTGTACATTATCTGTTTCTATCTATCTATAGTAATTTCTAATGAATTAATGGGTTTTATTTATAATATGTCATTATTGTATATTGCATAAATGTTATTGGATGCACTTGTTTCAGTAGATATTCCCATATTTAAACTTGAAATTTATAACTACCAGCTTGTGCATTCAAGAGTTTTAAAGAGAATGTGTGTGTGTGTTTCAGATGGCTCAGATCTTCCTAGAGGCTACTTTTCTTCATTTAGACTCTCAAATACATTGGCTGGTAGATGTAAGTTTATAGTTTAAAATATATGGGTGTCAAGTCAAATATCTTTTAAATACAATTCCTCTTTCACTTCACAAAATATTTGCATTTGTTTAGTAAATAGATCACAAAGCAGTACAGTAGGTTAATGTTTCTGATTATTGACATCCATTTTCAATTTTTGGAAATGAATCTTTCTTTTTGAGTTGGATTTGAAGGGAGTTATAGAATATGCTACTTTTTTCAACCATTTCAATGCAGATTCAAGGAACTTTTTGTGAGTTTTTGTGTGCATTTGCATTTTTTTAATCATACATAGCTTGAAAGTCATATAAGTATCTATATATTATAAATATCATTGTTCTTTCTAACCATTTAGATTTACTGTATACATATAAATGAGTCGGTCAAGTCTGTAGCCTATCACAGTTATTAACTGAAGTTTAATCTGAAATTTTCTCTCTTTTGACTTTCCTACATGTTTCCCCAATAACCAGGACAGTAAGGCTTCTTTTCTTGATCTCTGTTTCCTCTCCATCCTTGAGTATTGTCGTGCCGCACTGCTCTGCTCTCTTAGCAACTCTGATCATGCTGTAGTGTCTGTTAACGTCATTTTCTACTCCTTCCCCAGCAAAGAACCTCCTACCAACAGAACATCTTTCTGTTATCAACGAGCATACTGGGACTCGTTCTGTGATTTCCTTTGTGATGTTGTCTGGAATGTCGTCTTTAATCTCCCCATTCAAAATGCATTTCGGAGCTCTCCTCCTGGTTAAAAGCTGGAATTGAGGCTTTCATCCTTTCATGGTGTTTCCACAAGAGCGTACTGAATAACAGCAAATCTACATTACTGCCTTTATTCAATCAAATTGAGGTCCTGACTTCCTCAGCTGATAAGGCTGAATGCTTTGGTCAGAAATTCTCATTCAATTCAACGTTCAACTCATCAAGTGTACCCACTCTCAATTTTCCCCTAGAACTGAGGCTCTATTAAGTGAGTTGCACATAACCCAATCGATGGTATTGGACATTGTCTCTAAATTAGACTCCATCAGTCTAGCGGTGGGAACGGGATACCAGCCATTGTCCTGAATAAATGTGCTCCTGAACTGGCTCCTGTTCTCTCCAAACTATATAACTATTGCCTCAACAACTCTTGCTTTCCAGCCTGTTGGAAGTCCTCATCTGTTGTACCTGATTTTATGAACTCTGGCGACCCTTCTGACCCATCTAAGTACTGTCCTATCAGTCTCCTACCACTCTTTGACAAAGTCTTCGAAGCTTTAATCAATGCTGAAGTGGTTTCAGCATCTTACATCCCATGATTTGACAAGCGATATGGTTTCCACTTTGCCCAATCTACTGCTGATGTGCTCACAGCCATAACTGAATTGGTTTACCAAGCACTTCACAATAAGGGAGAAGCTCGAGCTGTGGCTCTAGATATCTCTGAAGTGTTTGATAGTGTTTGGCATGCTGACCTTCTTTGTAAGCTTCAGGGATACAGAATTTCAGGATGATTATTTGACAATGCAATCATTCCTGTCAAACCATATAATGATGGTCATCCTAAACGGATTCTCCTCCGGTTCCTTTTCTGACAAATGCAGGTGTTCCCTAATGCTCTATCCTGGATCCTACTCTGTTTCTGATCTTCATTAATGATCTTCCTGATGTCATCAGTTCCCAGGTTGGTATCTATGCAGACAACACCACTATTTACTTCTGCCTCAATAGCAAATCTGGTATCACTGACAAAACTAACCTGGCCATTGGTCTCGAAAAGGACCACCAATCAGTTGTTGACTGGGGCAAGAAATAGCTGGTAAACTTTAATGCCTCAAAAACAAAAACTTTTACCCATCACAGAGAACCCACCCTGCCTCCCTTTAGAATATCTGATGCTCAACTCTATGAGAGCGCTTCTCTGTGACTGCTTGGTTTCACACTGTCCATTGACCTGGGATGGAACAAATACATTGAATCAATAGCTTCATCCACTGCAAGAAAGTTGGTTCTGTGTGTCGTGCTAGAAAGTTTTTCTCACCTGAGTCCATCCTTTAAATCTATAAATCAACCATTTGCCCTTGCATGGAATACTGCTGCCATATATGGTCTTGAGCCTCTGCTGTTCACCTTAAGGTTCTCGACAAATTTCAGAGATGTGTACGCAATGTGATTGGTCTTGATCTGGCATCTCATCTACAGTCACTTTCTCACAGACATGCTGTGGCTTCCCTCTGTCTTTTCTACAAATACTTACATGGCAACTGCTTCGATGAGCTACTTTTGCTGGTTCTCAAACCACTTGAATTTAAGCATGCTACTAGGTTGGCATCTCAGTCCCATCCCTTCTACTGTCAAAACTGTTAAATGTAGCCATCTCTTCTACTCCAATAGCTTCATGTCTCACACTTCCCGTGTATGGAGCTCCCTTGCTCTTACTTGCTTCCTTGATAGCTATAATCTTCAATTATTCAAATGCAATGTCAATCGACATCATCAGATGCCTTGATCTAATTCCCCGTCCTTCTCTTCATCCTTTCCTCTATCACGCCTCTTTACTCTTGCTCTAACTCTCTGTAACCCCTTGCATGCTAGTGGCACTCATTCCTTGCTTGGGGTGAAATGCTTAAAAAAGAAAAAAAAAATCTATTTAACGGAGATAAAGAAGGAGATTATGTTGAAAAACAAATACTTGTTGCATAAAATGCCTTTTCATGCATTTTTTGTTCTTGCATATCCTTTCAATACACATAAATAGGTTTATATCTGTTAGAAACACTTATTAACCTGGGTATATCATAGATTTCTGATAAATAGTGGAGTCCTTATTATTATTCATACTTTTTTTTTTTTTAGTACAAGTGTATGTAAAAATTTATTTCTATGAAGCTTGTGTGTTTATTTGTGATGTCTAGCTGTTTTTACAGGTTTTGTGTGACATTTGTCTCCTTTATGAGGAATAGTTTCTGCTTGTTCAAAAATATCCACAAAAAAAGAAAACATTATTCCCCCCCCCTTGTATACAGTCACTCTAATCATGCACATGATATAACACACACATTTTTTTTATATATATATATATATATATATATATATAAACACACATTTATATATATATATATATATATATATATATATATATATATAAGAATTTAGGGAAAGATATATAACAAAGTGCAAAAGTTTTTCATGTGATACATTTCGTCCTTCAGGACTTCATCGGACTAAGTTAAACATAATGAAGTCCTAAAGGACAAAACACATCACACAAAAGGTTTTTCAACTTTGTCATTGTTGAGTGAAAACTGACCATTGCATAAATTGTATAAATTTACTATTAATATAAATTATATAGCTCTGTTATTATACATTGAACACTATTTTATTAACACCAGCACTAAATGTCCAATATTCCACACACACACACACACACACACACACACACATATATATATATATAATCACTGATGTGGCATTCAAAAATGTCCAAAGAAACACAACAACACACAACATTTTCGATCATGGCTTATAAAAATTAAAACTGTCAGATGACAATGTAAAATTTATGTTAAATTTCTCACTGGAGCCAGATGAATGATTCAATTTGCAGATAAATGAACAAATGTTAAAGAACTTTCGGTATTACTTAACTGAACGTGAATATATATATATATATATATATATATATATATATATATATATATATATATAAAAAAGGTTGTCACTTATCTGATTTATGTTACCTTCAGTATCTTGCCTACAGAGTTTCTTAGACACCCTTGTCCATCCACTCGTCAGGGGGTATCAGGAGTTAGGTAGCATATATTCATTCAATATTAGGATAAATGTTTTGCAAAAAATTCCATAGCTACAATATATAAATTAAAAATTTTAAAATAATTATAACAGTGCGCATTCATGTGTGTTTTTAAAGAAAACACCATCACAATAAATTTGTCTTTGTAATTCACCCCTGTGCATGATCTTGGAGTTGATTGAAAGCACATAGCTAGGAAAAACTATGGTGTCATTCTTGATGAATTTCATCTTAACATCAAGAAACTTATTAGAGAGCTGGAAAGGACCAGTATAAAAATAAATAGACATAATATGTCTATATTATTCAATGAAACATGTTTGCATGTATATATATATATATATGTGTCTGCACACTCACTTATCTTGTCTCAGTACTATAATAATCCATTTTATTTGTTAATTTTCTACCTCTTGATTTCAAGCACTATAGTTGCAAAGACTGCTTGTGTTAAAAATGTTATTTTCCAGAATTACCCTGTCTCAAAATATAATTTATGTAATAAATGCAAATGTCAGTGTGGCACTGTGTCACACTTTTTCAACTTTACTCCTAGAGGCTGTTGGCCAACATATCATATCATTTTGGAATCAGGCTGACTCCTTGAGCAAATTACAAACATTCTTGTTTGGATCTGGAAGGGCAATCCAGAAATTTTGGATTCCCAAGTTTTCATTACTGCAATTGTTTTTGGTGATTATTTTTTTTCTTTTTCTTTTTTTTTTATATGAATTTTGTGATAAATTTTTTTTTACAATAACAATTTTTATAACTTGGAGATAATCAAAATTAATTGTGAAATCCAGTGAAAGTCAACTATGAAATAAAAATAATTCTTTGTACAGAAAGTAAGGACCTACATACATCAAAATATCTTTAAATTAAGTGGCGGCAGAAGATTTATTGTTGAACGTTTAAAAGGTAAACTTAGATATTAATGCAATATGTAGTGATCAATTTGAGTTCTTCTGTAGTTTACTGTTGCCTATTGCATCTACTACTCCCTATTTATTGTGATAAAAGCCCTCCACTGGAGCTAGCTTAAATGCTGCCCAATAGGGCTCCTTTTAAGCTAGTCTATAAATATATATATATATATATATATATATATATATATATATATATATAAATAAACTCCATCTTTTTTTCTCTAGTGGGTGATGTTTATTCTTTATTTTATCTATTTTGTATTTTTTTCTTCTATTAAAACATCTTCCGAATTAGATGCACTGTCATTATGATATCATTTTTCTTTCTGAAACATAAAGCTTCATATTGTATTCTCTCATTATCACTTTAAGTGCCATGTCCTTCCAGAGGAAAAGCAATCAGGGCTCTCCAGAGTTTCTTTTTCTTGAATTTTTGTAATTTCTACTTTTATAATTGTTCTTGATGAAAATAGTGGAGTGGTTTCCTGTTGTATTCTTCATGGTTTTAAAATCAAGTTTGGTCTTCTTCTAGACTGACTGGCAACCAAGGTTAGAGAGCTGAGTTTATTTTGTTATTTGACCAATAACTTAGGCAGATTATATCATTCATTCAATAAAGCAATTTTTAAGCAAATAGAACTGTATTTTTAAAAAAAATAGAAGAGTTAAAAAAAAAAAAACAACCTTGGAAAATACCTTAAACATGTGGCAACTTGATGATGTCCTGTAATCAAAAACTTTTTGTATAATTTTTCATTTTTATTTTATTGAATTTGTTTCTAACTTCATCCTCTCTCAGCAGGTATTTGTCCATAATCTGTTGGGATTGCTCACCTTGGCAGACTACTATCATTGATTGGATGTAATGAGTTCAATTCTCACATTGGGGGTTTTGTGCCAGGCTAAGGTTGGCTTATCAATGGCTATACTGTTTCGCTGTTCAGTAGTGATTAGTGAGTTAGTGAAGCAGATCAGTCAGAAGTGTGATTGATACTGAATGCTCTATATTTGAGACCTTGTGCCTGATTTAGGTCACCTTATTTGAAGTAATGTTTAATAATGCAAAGTCATCACTACTGTGATTAGTGAATTGAATTTGATCCTTATTGGGTGCCTCTTATTTGTGGCCTTGTGCCAGACAAAAGTTTAGTAAATAATAGTCAATGCAGGTATATAAACGTGTGATAGTGTTTAACAATCTACTCGAGAAGACCATTAATACAATGTCTCATGAAGTCAGTACTCATTGCATTGATTAAATAATATTTATAACCTTGTGCCAGACTAAGTTTTTATTTATCATTTTATACTCTGTGTGCTATTTCCAAATTGCACAGATATTACACTCTGATCCTAGGCAGAAATTCTCAACAGAGTTGCTGATCTACACATAGAAAATCTTACCATTTTTGATGGGTATTATGCTATATGCTCATAAAACATAAGAATTAAAAAAATTGTCTCTGTCGCATTGTTTGGGTTTCAATGCTGCGCCTACTGTTCAAAGCTCACAATTTGTTTTTTCTTTTGCAAGGATTGCAAAATGCAAGTCTGTACCCCCATCCCCTCACCGCATGTAGATGTTACTTCAGTGCATTTAAAGTACGGGTGCACAATTATTATTCTGCATACACGCATTCTTGTGCGTTACACGAAAATACCAATAAGACGTGCATGCATGTTCGCGTCTCCACCCCTCTGGAGGCCTCTCCTCCCTTCTCCCAACACACCTACAGTTCTCTTCCTCTCTCTCTCCCAACTTCATCAGTGCGCGTATGCACGAGCAAGCAAGTGCTTCTGTGTGATCAACCAAGTCTTCTATTGGTGAATAAATATGTTGATCATTGAGGAAAAAAAAAAATGGGTTATCCACATCACTTTTCTCTCCTTCCTCCTCCTTCTCACTGATAGCAAACTGCTATACTAAAGGGAAGAGGGGAGGAGGAGGAGGAGAAGAAGAACATGAAAGATGTTTGAAAGAAGAGAGAGAGAAAGATAAAGTTGGCATTGCTATTCTTGGTAGTGTCCCCCCTCCACTAACCCTCCTCGGCCGTACATTGGAAAAAATAATTACATTTCTTATTGAGATATTGAATTTATTGTATTTAAGTTGGTCGTAGAGTCAGAATTGCATAATTCCAACGTCATGGGAGGAAAAAAAAGGTTAAGAAAAAAAAATGATTAAAAAAGAGAACTGAGTTTAGAGTGTCTGATAATGACTTTGCTCCCTTTGTTTTTCTTTTCTATTCTCTCTTTTAAAAATCTTAGATTTCTCTTTGTACATCTTTGTAAATCACTTTTCCTTAGCTTCCCTTTCATTTTTCTTTCTGAGTTCTTTTATCTTCATTTATTTTCTCTCTCATTCTGTATCTCTTTTCTGTCAGATATTCCTCTCTCTCTCTCTCTCTCTCTGAACTTGTTTTCTCTTTCCCATCTCTCATTCCTTTTCTGTCTTTTGCCATTGCTCCTTCCATTTCTCTTTTTCCCATCTCTCATCCTATTTTTCTTTCTATCCCTCCATTTCTCATTCTATTTATCTCCTTCCATTTCTCTTTTCCTATCTCTCCCCTTCCATTTTTCTTTTCCTATCTCTCTCCTTCCATTTCTCATTTTCCTATCTCTCCCCTTCCATTTTTCTTTTCCTATCTCTCTCCTTCCATTTCTCATTTTCCTATCTCTCTCCTTCCATTTCTCATTTTCCTATCTCTCTCTTTCCATTTCTCATTTTCCTATCTCTCTCCTTCCATTTCTTATTTTCCTATCTCTCTCCTTCCATTTCTCATTTTCCTATCTCTCTCTTTCCTATCTTTCTATTTTTCCTTCCCATCTCTCCTTCCATTTCTCCTTCCAGTTTTCTCTTTCCCATCTTTCCTTCCATTTCTCTCTTTCTCATATGTTGTTCCTCTTTTGTAACTTATTCTTTTTCTCATTCCTTTTCTCTTTCACATCTCTCATTACACTTCTCGCTTTTCTTTCTCATCTTTCATTCCTCTCTTTTTGCCTCTTCTTATTCCTTTTTCTATTTTTTTTTTTATCATTTACTCCTTCATTTTAAATCTTTTTTCCTTTCCTTTCCTTCTTCTTCCTGATAACACTGCCTTAAGCAAATTTTCTCCCTCTCCTTCTCCAGTAAAATACCTACATTTCTCTGACTTGGGTCCAGATCATTTTTAAAACAACTTACTAAGAATAACTGATTCTCCATACAAAATCACTTTTCTCTTCCCCTCACATCACGGTCAGCATTCGATGAAGACAGTTTTCTTTTCTCTTCTTGAAGTTCTTTTTGTTTTCTCTCTTCCATCTCCTCCTCTTCAAAGATATGATTTTAATTTTAAAAATACCACTTTGTTTCAATTCTACTTCCACATTCACAGCAGATAGTGGCAGATATTTATATCATTCTTGTATACTGTATATCCCACAAGTATATGAATAATGGGCTGATACAGTTCCCAGTGTCTAGATACTCAGTCACAGGCTGTGAACAGAACTAGACAAAACAAAATAATGTAACTTTATAGAACCAGTCATTGAAAGTGCAGAACAGAGTTCAAATTATGGTTGGGACAGTTTTCATTTATTTAGGAAAAGGCATTGTAGTGTAGTGTTACTGACTCATGGGAAGTAGTATGCACTCAACTCTCTCATGGGTAATATCCATAGCTATTTATAGTCTTTGTGGCTTCATGTGTAAATGAGTCACCACATCCCCCTGTACTGAAGAGTTTTTATCCCCTTATTTTCTTCTGGGATCTTTTGTCTCCTATCTTCCTCCCTCTTCCTAAATGATTGTCTAGATATGGGAGATCTCAACCTTCCTTTTTCATAGGAGTTTTACTTCAGTGATTGTCCTTGTTCATCTTCAGAGTCTATATTACTCTTGATTTCACTATCTAATTTATCTTGACATGACACTCTTGCCTTCATTACTTTCAGGCTCACAATACATTTCTTCATCACTATCGTGTTGCAATCTGACTTGGTCTGCATGCGCTAATATCCCATTTCCATTTTTTTCTGTTATCATAGTGTTCTGTCCACTTTGCATTATGAATCTTACCTCTTAGATTAGATTCACTATTTTTATACCATAGTTTTTCATTAGTAGCATAGGACATGCATGGTCAATGGGTCTCTAACTTGTCTACCCATGAGGGCAGACAGGCTGTTCAATCTTCCAGCAACAATCTAGGAAGAAATGTTTCTATCTTTTCTTTCTGTTGCACACACATTTTCAATCTGTTTTTTTATAGTTTGCACCATCCTTTTTGTTAATCTGTTTGATTGCAGATGGTATGGTGTGTGCGTGTGTGTGTGGGGGGGTTATAGGGTTTGCATCCAATTTCATTCAACTATTGGCATAGTTCCTTGTCACAGAACTGGGGTGTTGTCAGATACTGGTGTTTTAGGGATTCCATTTGTTGAAAATATGATCCTTAGCACTCATTTCATGGTCGAAATTCTTTTGTTGGAGACCTGTATTACTTCTGGGCAGCCTGAATATGAATCTACCAGTATTAGTAATAATCCCACTCCATTAACATGGGTATGATCCATGTGTACTCTGTCCCAAGTATGGGATTATTTAGGCCATTTATGTATTTTTGCCTGTCTAAATTTTCTTCTTTCATTTCACATTTTACATCTTTTTATGTATTCTTTTACATCTGTAGAATAGCCTGGCCACCATGCCTCTCGCCTTAATCTCCTTTGTCATAGATGTTATTCCGCAATGAACATCATCATGTATACTTTTTATAACTTTGCTTCTTTGTGTTGCAGGCAGAACCACTATATCTCTGTTACAAATTACACCATTTTCTACAGTTAACTTGTGTTTAACTTCTTTAAAACACCTTTCTGCCAATGAGCAATTATCCCACTTATTATTTTTTATCCTGAACAATATGCTGTTCAATATGAGATCTTGCTTTGTATCCTCAGCTAATTTGTCTATTGAGAAAATATCAGTTTCAACCCAGTGCAAGAAAGTATCTTCATATTTTCTGCCTCATTCTCACTTTCACAAGTAATAAACCTCAATCTTGACAATGCGTCTACATGCAAAATGGTATTGCCTTTCATGTACTCAATATCAAATTCAAACTTTATTAACATTAAGGCCCATCTTTGAATTCTAGAAGACCTTACCTTAGGAAGTTCCTTCCAAGGATTAAATATGAATTCTAAAGATCTATGGTTGAACCTTAGTAGGAATTTCTTTCCAATCGGAAACTGACAAGCTTTATTTCTCTTCCATATTATGGCCAATAGTTCTTTCTTGATATTTGAATAGTTCAGTTTAGCTTTTGACAATTTTCTTGAAAGATACATAATAGGATGAGTTCATCCTGAGCTAATATTCCCAAAATTGAGTGTTCACTTGCATCAGTTGTTACTACTAATTCCTTTTTGGGATCAAATATTTTACTACTGGCTTCTTTGCCAGAACAGCTTTTAAACTTTCAAATGCCACTTGTTATTTTGTCCAAATAAATTCCACATTCTTTTTTCTTAAAGCAGCAAAAGGTTCTGTCAATTTGGAGTATCATTCTACATATTGTCTGTAGAAATTTACAAGTCCTAAGAAAGATTCCAATTATTTTTTGTTCTTAGTTATTTCAACTTTTAATATTTTGTCAATTAACAATTGGTCTGGTGATGTGCCTTTGTTAAATATGGAATATCCCAAAATGATGTCTTTTTAATGTTGTGCAGACATTTTTTTTTGTTAATTGTTAATCCAGCATTTTTTAACTTATTCAAAACCATACTGGTTTTCCATTCTAATTCTTCATTGTTAATAGCACCAACACAAATGTCATCCTAGAAGCCATATTGTATTTTTTCATATTGCTACCAATAACTTGTTTCATCTTAATAAGCTTATTGGCGTGTTTATTGTTGTGTCTTCTTTAAAGTCTTCATCAATAGGTATTTGATGGTATGCTGACTTTAGGTAAATTTTAGAGAATTTTTTCATAGCCATAAGGGAGTTCAAAGCCCTACATTGGCGATAGGATATGAATTTAGGATATGATTTTCTGTTAGTCTTAACTTTGCTTTATAGTTTTTTAACATTCCAGTTTCTTCTGCCTTGACTTTGTTTCCTAATTTTGTCAAATTTATGTTCAATACATCATTTCCTATTAGATAATGATTCTTTTCACAGTTTGCCACGATAATGGATAATACATGAAACTTATTTTTTAGTTCAATGTAGGCTTCAAAATAATCTAGCATTTTTATCACGGATCTATCAAACTGACTCAATTGGACAAGGCTTTTCTTTAATCTTGATTTTCCTAATTTTATGTCATTTTCCATATCTAGTTGCATGTCCAATAAAAGATTATTGATTTAAATTTTTAATAACCCTTTTTCATTTTTTTTTCTTCTTCTTCAATGAAAAGACATCCTTACTTATTTCCTCTTCATTTTGTTGAACTGTCTCTGTTTTTCTTTTCAGATTTACACATACGTTTAAGTCAGACATTTTTGTTTTTTTCTTTGATGTTGATATCCACAAAAAGTACATTTTTTTTTCTTTATTGTGTATTTGTCCACATCTGTAACTTTTATTCTATTAAATTTTCCAATTAATTCTTGTTGCTGAACAAATTCAACACACTGTTCTAGTAACAACTTTCCCAGTTATAAATGCATTAGAATCATTTGGCGATACTCCTCATTTTGAAGGCCATTTTCCAATTTCATTTGGATTGAATCCACTTTGATTGACTGGTTTTCCAATGCCAGTTTCTTAAATTTACAATATTTAGCAGCCTGTTTTAAATAAAGAACTTATTCATTCACTTTCATAAACTTAGCTCTCTCCCTCATTCACTAGTTTTTTCTTGGGTGCTATGTTTTTCACTATTAGTTGACTTATATTGTCAAATGTCATTTCCTCCAGCTGTCTTGAGTGTGCAATTACTGATAATTTTATAATGGCTTCACAATCAGCAGTTGTCAAGAAGAGATCAGTTATTTGGTTTTCTCCACCAATTAATTTTAAATCTTTTATTTTTTTTTGTTCTAGCTTTAGCTGCTAGTATTCTAAGTCACATTTGTGCATATTCATAATTATCAAGTGATAATTGTTCCTTCGGTTCTTTAGATATTGGTGAGGCTGTTGTATTGTAGTGTTACTGATTCATGAGAAGTAGTATGCACTCAACTACCTCATGGATAATAGCTGTAGCTATTTATAATCTTTGTGACTTCATATGTAAATGAGTCACCTTAGGCATCAATTCACTTTTCTTGCTCACCTAAGTCAGTTGCAGCCCTTTATTCCTGTAATAGTCTATTTTGTGTAATGAGCTATTCCCTCACTCATAAAAATTCATTTGTTACTGAATTTGCAGCGGCATCACTCGGCATGGTTGTAGCCCTTGCTATTCTCCACCTACAAGAATTTAAAATATATATATGTGTGTGTGTATAATATGAATCTACTTTGACTTATTTTCTTTCTTCAAACTCTGGGTGGGAGTGGGATATTTGCCTGAAATACTTTGTCTGTAATAACATCTGCAGCAATGAAAGATGAAAACAATAGTTCAACTGAATTGAATAAGTCAGAATATATTGACAATTCCCCAAATCAAAAACAATAATGAATACCTGACGATGACCAGAGGGTACTTGGCTGAAACATGTCTATAACAACATATTATAACAGTCAGAGATGAGAACAATAGTTTGATTGAATCAAATAATTCAAAGATAATTCTATATCTCAAAAACCAAACATAAATTAGCGTATTTATACTTGAAGGTATACTTAGAAAATCACTATACTTGAAGGGAGTTATATATCTTATAATATATGAATGACTGTGTGGAGAAAGAGTGTAATAATAATCTACAAAAACATAGGATTTACTTCATCTGAAAAATATCTCCTGTTTTGAACTTCAGTTGGGATTGATTACATTGATTTTGCATTAATACTTTTGGAAAAGGCATGAATCCACTTTCCCTCATCAGCTATAAGTAAATAGAAGTATAGTCGATGCCCTTTATCCATCCAAGGTAGTTCATCAT